AGGGATTCTCAAATCCAAAAATACAAAAACCCCCGATATGAAAACAGGGAAGAATGGGGTCACATAACCAGAGACCAAACAAAAAAGTTACTATTTAATCCTAACCAAACCGATAAGAAGGGCAAAAAAATTGTATTATGGGAACAGTTTTTCCAACTTACGAGGTGATATAAAAAAGACCTGGAAGCCCCCCATTTAGAAAATTTTGGGAACAAAAAAAGATATCAAGACATAGCGAAATAAAATTAGCAACATCGATGGGAAAAACCCAACCCAACCCCAAAAGAAAAAAGCAAAAAAAATCGAATTTATTTCTTCTCCAATTTTAGGTCAAAAAAACCCCTTTTCCAAAAAAATCCCCAAACTCGGTTACCCACCCAAATTTCCCACCCCCCCCCCACTGGCAACTACCGAACACACGTTTCCCAGCTCCCGGGCTAAACCCTCGAAGTCTCCCCTTTTTATCATCGAAATGAAAAAAAAGGCAGGAGATTTAAATACCTTTCCCCCTTTATATATAAAAAAAGCGCACAATTTCTATCACCAATTATTGCAAAATCTTTAAAAAAATCCCTTGAATCCTCCACCTTTTCCCTACAGTTCCAAAAAAGGGAAGGGTCACCCCGAATTTCCCTAAAGGAGGAGACCAAAAAAGAGTTGAATAAAATATAGGCCAAAAACCCTTTTTCCCACTCCCCTCAAAAATTTCGAAAAATTAATTCATAAACGAATTAAACTACTTCCCACCTCATCTCCCAAAACATTCTCAAACCCCCGGCCCCCAAATTTGGATTTTAGGCCAATTTAAAAAAATTTAATTTATGTTTATACACTGGGTAGAAAAATATATACACTGCAATAGAGAAAAAAGAAGTCCCACCTTTGGGGGTCTTCATTGACTTTCGTTAAAACTTTTTATTTCAGTTTTTACCAGGGCTTGTCCCCGTAAAATTGTCACCTATGGGAAATTTGAAAGGGGACTCCCCCAACTACCCTCAAGTCTTAAATCCCGCAACAGAAGCCAAAAATGTGTCCCCAAAAAGGGGGAAAATTTTTCCGCAAAAACCAAATTTCAGTTGGTGTCCCACGGGGAAATGCCTTGGCCCTCTTCTCCCTTTTTTCCATACATAAAAGACCTACCAAATGTTCGCAATTTCTCAAAACCCCCCACTTTTTGCAGAGGGCACTAATTTGTTTTTTCTCTCACCCGAGGGCCCTCAGGTAGCCAATACTGTAAACACCGAATTACAGGAAAAAATTTTTCCCGGATGAGGACTAAAAAAATTACAATAAAAAATTGGGCCAAAAAATACTTCAATTTTGTTTGGTAAAAGAGTACAGATGTTTCCTTTTTAACATAACGATAAAAGGTTTACCCTTTACAAAAACTAAAAAGGGGGAAAATTTTTAGGAATCCCCCCTCGATTATAGACTCAAATTTCCCTACACATATACAAAAAAATTTCTAAGAAAAATTTCCCAAAACGTAGGCTTTCTATCGAAGATACGGTACTATGTTCCACGTCAGCCCCCCCTGGCCCTTTATCACTCCCCCATTTACCCCTATCTCCTTTGGTTTTTTGCATGGGGTCAAACAAAAAAATTAACCCTCTCAGACCACTAAATTTCCCAAAAAAAAGGCCCGCAGTTAGATTGATAATAAAAATTTTCACTACAGGGCCAAAAAACCCCCTTTCCAAACCCTTTTTTCAAAAAAAACTTTAACCTTTTTTTTCCCTACAAAAAATCCATACTTATTATTGCACCTATTAAATACATTTGAACACTTAACTCTGATATTAACCCTCCCTCCCAAAATCTCCTTGCCAACCCCAAAAGAAAACATGAACCTTAAAAACAAGGCACAGATCACTCTTTGAATGTTCCTCGGTCCATCTCACGCTATGCAAAACTCAATGCACATAAAAGGCCCTAAAATCTGGAATTCATTACCTGTAAATATAAAAGAAACACTACCTGTTTATAAATTCAAGTCTCTTCTCAAAGTTCACTTACTCACTCAAAACCAAATAAATACTGACTAACTGAACCTTATAAATTGTATATCCAAAATGTTACTCACAATTATATCACATAAATGTTAAACCTAGGACCCAATCTAACTTTGTTATTTTTTTAAATACACTACCTAACAGAATACTCCATTCTACTGAATGTACAGCAATGCATGCAACCATATGACCTGTCTTTGTAATACTCATTTGTGCTTTATAGTCATCTGTTTACAATAATGTCTTATCACTGATTTCATCATTGCTTAGTTAATCTTAAGTTAATTTTAAGCCAGCCCGTAATGCTATGCATATAAGTGGCTTTGGCATGCTGCTCTTACCTGTATTTTTTTTGTACCTCTGTATATATGCTAAAATTTCTAAATAAATAAATAAATAAATAAAGCATTCGTGAGCGTATTTTATAGGAGTGAATGGAGACAAATGTTTTTTAATACTTGACGTGCTGTTGGAGTGTGAGCAAAGTAACATTTATGAAGGGATTCTGGAAAACCGGCAGGCCGGACTTGAGTCCTGGAGATGGTAAGTACACCTACCATCTGACTTACGACCTGCTCGACATACAACAACTCAACTTACGACCATGTTTTGTATGCCAAATTTCTGGGAAATAAACAACTACAGTGGACCCCCGGTTAACGATATTTTTTCATTCCAGAAGTATGTTCAGTTGCCAGTACTGACCAAATTTGTTCCCATAAGGAATATTGTGAAGTAGATTAGTCCATTTCAGACCCCCAAACATACACGTAGAAACGCACTTACATAAATACACTTACATAATTGGTCGCATTGGGAGGTGATCGTTAAGTGGGGGTCCACTGTATTTGTGTTTTACACAGTGTTTATCCTAAACCTTACAGTATAAAATACAGTACTAACAGCATAAAAAGTAAAGTAAAAAATGAAATACCAAAATAAAACAATAAAATAAAGTCATTACAAAAATGTGATGTTGATATTCAGTAGTAAGGTTCGACTTATGTCCATTTCGACTTATGACCAGTTGGTCGGAACCAAGCTCAGTCGTAAGTCGGATGGTACCTGTACAGTGTCTGCAATCTAAAGGAGACGTGTTAATGTTGCAGCTTTATAACTGTAGTGTAAAGCAACCTTCTGGCAAGACAGTGATGGAGTGAATGATGATGAAAGTTTTTCTTTATCAGGCCACCCTGCCTTGGTGGGAATCGGCCGATGTGTTAATAAAAAAAAAAATATTTATAAGAGATTCAATAGGTGCCTTTTAACAATATCAGTGATGATGTTGGAAGATGGGGAAACTTTTAGCATTTTCAGGCAGCAAGTTCCAAATTTTTTGAACCTTTAATTTATATGGCATTTTTGAACAGGTTAAGTTAAGCTGTTCCTAAGAAATTCCAGAGAGATACTTGTTCCTCATATTGGTGTACATGTATTCTGTTGTAGCTCTCGAGATACAATTTAAGCTCTGGGTTAATATAGAAGGAGGGGAGCTAATGTTGCACTACAGTTGATGATGAAAGTTTTTCTTTTTCGGGCCACCCTGCCTTGGTGGGAAACAGCTGGTGTGTTAATAAAAAAACAATACCATGGCCAGAACAATACACAAATAACCCATTCTTAGGAGAGGGGAAAGTAATGATGACATTTCAGTCCGACTTGGATCACTGACAAGGACTTGCCAATGGTCCAAGTTGGATAAAAGAAGTAACTTAAAAAGTATCATCACTAACTTAGCATCTCTAGTTTTAAAGTTTTATTTATCCATTTATCATTTTCTTTGCAGATGTAATAAAACTGCTATTACATCTGCAAGGATGTAATAACAGTGTTGGCATAAACCTTGGTAATAAATACCGACAAGTTGAAAAACACATAAGCAAACACTAGGACATATTTATTAGAAAATGTTTCGGTCCTGGGACCTTGATCACTTCTTACAGAAAAAGTGATCAAGGTCCCAGGACTGAAACATTTTCTAATAAATAATATGTCCTAGTGTTTGCTTATGTGTTTTTCTAAACCAATAACAGTGTTATAACAACCTATTAACATTATCAGTCCAAAGGCTCTGACTTTAATCTTCCACTTCATTAAATGATTCAAATCTCTCTTATATTCCATTTCAGTTTTTACTTCCTCAATTTTTCCATAGTAACATGACTAAAATTTGTCATAATTTAACATCATATTGTTGTGCTTGGCCCACTGGAAGACTTGGTTTACATCAGCTTGGAGGTTTGTGGTATTCTCAATGGAAACCACTCTTGTATTCTATTATTATCTGCAAAGGATTATATGGTGCTATGATATAAGAATGAGAAATAATTGAGGCCAATACTCTTCTATTCGTCAGAAACTAAAAATCCACCTGTCTACTTTTCCAGTTATTCCTTTTGCTCATAATATGAGCACTATTACACCATGGTCACACTTGTCAAAAGTTCTTGCAAAGTTTGTGTACACTATAACTGCATTTTGTTTGTCTTACAGTACATCTATGGTCATGTCACAATGGCCCAGCAACTACATGAGGAAGGACCATTATGACAAGGTCTTAGCTGCACTGGGCGACAAGCAAAATGCAAATGTGTACACTTTTTTTTTTTTTTTTTAAACAAGTCAGCCATGTCCCACCGAGGCAGATGAACTAAATTATAATACCTGCAAATTTCAGCATTACACTGTGCCTGGTATGATTAACTATGAAGACCACAACCTTTTCCATGTTAGCTGCTGTCTCTCTGGCTTCACAGTATAGCTTGGATTGTTAGGATAGTTATTAATCTTTAGACAGTGGTAGTCAAAAAGGGATCGAACTCAACAGAAAGTGATAGGTACATCTAAAACTGGTGGTTTAGGAGTGCAACTGATAGCCAGAGGTTAACTGACCAAATACAGAAACTTCTTTTCATTCTCGAAAATGTAGTAAAATAGTATGAAATTCTATGCTTACTCTATAGTTAAAAAAATTTAAACATACTCTACCTTAAAGCTATATGATTGAGTGCAGTCTTCTCCTCAGCTTCCATGCCATCTTCTCCTTCCATTTTAATTCTTTCTCTCTCTCCTTCATCTCCCTCTCCACCCTGCAAAAAGTAACAAAAATATAAGTTAAAATTATTAACAGTAATAATACCAAACAACACTGTATATTTAAAGTAATCAAAGACTAACAGTAGAAGAAAAATATATCGAATCTAATACAATCGAAATTTACATCATCTAGTTTAGTTAAAAATTAACGTATAAAATCTAATCCAGCACAGTTGTGTGCGTGTACTAGATTAAACTTTTAGTTAAACACTGCTTATTCATAAACTATGAGAACACCAGATAGGCACCAAAAGGTCATATACCAAAAATAAATGATGTTGGTAAAAAAATAAAAAAAAAAATAAATACAAATTTTAAACATAACTGCAGTAAGCATCTGATAAAAGGAATTAATAAATGGAAGGGGGTGTCTGCTTTGGAGAAAAATCTACTACATTGAAAGTGTCAATTAAGCAGATGTAGTCCACTTAATCAATTGACTACCAGAAAAGGACAAATGCCCATTAAAAGAAACTTAGTCTAACCCTTGCAAGTTTAGGGGTAAGGGTCATCCTAAGAAAGGATGGACGAGAGGGTAAGGAGGTTGTGTGTGAGGGGCCTGGACACACAGCAGGCATGTGTGAGCATGTTAGATAGGGGTGAGTGAAGATGAAATGGTTTTTGGGACTTGACAAGCTGTTGGAGTGTGAAAAGGGTAATATTTTGAAAAGGGATTCTGGGAAACCTGTTAGCCAGACCTGAGTCCTGGAGGTGGGAAGTACTTCATGTCTGCACTCTAAAGAAGAGGATATTTCTAGTTTAAAGTGACATCTAAATTCTTGTACCTGTGAGCCTTTAACAAGACAGTGATAGGTGAATGATGGTGAAAGTGTTCTTCTTTGGGCCACTCTGCCTCAGCGGGAGATGGCCAGCATGTTAATCATAATAATAATAATAATAATGTTAAAAGCAGGGGGGATACAGTGATGGAGTGGTTGGTATTTTTGTTTAATAAATGTATGAAAGAGGGGAAGGTACCTAGGGATTGGCAGAGAGCATGTATAGTCCCTTTACATAAAGGGAAGGGGTACAAGAGAGATTGCAAAAATTGTAAAGGAATAAGTTTACTGAGTATACCAGGAGGAAAAGTGTACGGTAGGGTTATTATTGAAAGAATTAGAGGTAAGACAGAACGTAGGATTGCGGATGAGCAAGGAGGTTTCAGAGTGGGTAGGGTATGTGTAGATCAAGTGTTTACATTGAAGCATATATGTGAACAGTATTTAGATAAAGGTAGGGAAGTTTTTATTGCATTTATGGATTTAGAAAAGGTATATGATAGAGTGGATAGGGGAGCAATGTGGCAGATGTTGCAAGTATATGGAATGGGTGGTTAGTTACAAAATACTGTAAAGAGTTTTTATGAGGATAGTGAGGCTCAGGTTAGGTTGTGTAGAAGAGAGGGAGACTACTTCCCGGTAAAAGTAGGTCTTAGACAGAGATGTGTAATGTCACCATGGCTGTTTAATATATTTATTGATGGGGTTGTAAAAGTAAATGCTAGGGTGTTCGGGAGAGGGGTGGGATCAAATAATGGGGAATCAAATACAAAATGGGAATTGACACAGTTGCTTTTTGCTGATGATACTGTGCTTATGGGAGATTCTCAAGAAAAATTGCAAAGGTTAGTGGACAAGTTTGGGAGTGTGTGTAAAGTTAGAAAGTTGAAAGTGAAAGAAAAATTGGATATCAAATTGGAGAGTAGTAGTATGGAAGAAGTGAATGTTTTCAGATATTTGGGAGTTGACGTGTCAGCGAATGGATTTATGAAGGATGAGGTTAATCACAGAATTGATAAGGGAAAAAAGGCGAGTGGTGCATTGAGGTATAAGTGGGGACAAAAAACGTTATCTATGGAGGCAAAGAAGGGAATGTATGAAAGTATAGTAGTACCAACACTCTTATATGGGTGTGAAGTTTGGATTGTAAATGCTGCAGCAAAAAGGGGGTTGGAGGCAGTGGGGATGTCCTGTCTAAGGGCAATGTGTCATATAAATATTATGCAGAAAATTCAGAGTGTGGAAATTAGGAGAAGGTGTGGAGTTTATAAAATTATTAGTCAGAGGGCTGAAGAGGGGTTGTTGAGGTGGTTTGGTCATTTAGAGAGAGTGGATCAAAGTAGAATGACATGGAGAGCATATAAATCTGTAGGGGAAGGAAGGCAGGGTAGGGGTTGTCCTCGAAAAGGTTGGAAGGAAAGAGTAAGGAGATTTTGTGGGCGAGGAGCTTGGACTTCCAGCAAGCGTGCGTGAGCGTGTTCGATAGGAGTTAATGGAGACGAATGGTATTTGGGACCTGACGAGCTGTTGGAGTGTGAACAGGGTAATATTTAGTGAAGGGATTCAGGGAAACTGGTTATTTTTATATAGCCAGACTTGAATCCTGGAAATGGGAAGTACAAGGCCTGCACTCTAAAGGAGGGGTTCTGTATACTGGCAGTTTGGAGAGATATGTTGTGTATCTTTATACGTATATGCTTCTAAGCTGTTGTATTCTGGGCACCTCTGCAAAAACAGTGATTATGTGTGAGTGAGGTGAAAGTGTTGAATGATGATGAAAGTATTTTTTGGGGGGGATTTTTCTTTCTTTTTGGGTCACCCTGCCTCGGTGGGAGACGGCCGACTTGTTGAAACAAAATAATAATAAAGAAAACTGTCAAAGTGGGATGTCTGAATGTGTGTGGATGTTGTGCAAATGATAAGATAAAGATGATTGTGGATGTTATGAATGAGAAGCAGCTGGATGTCCTGGCTTTAACTGAAACAAAGCTGATGGGGGTGGGAGAGTTTCAGCGGGGAGAAATAAATGGAATTAGGTCAGAGGTTTCAAATAGAGTTAGAGCTAAAGAAGGAATAGCAATAATGTTGAAGGGTAAGTTATGGCAGGAAAAGAGGGAATATAAATGTATAAATGCAAGGATTATGTGGGGTAAAATAAGGGTTAGATGTGAAAAGTGGGTTATAATAAGTGTTTAAGCACATGGAGATGAGAGAAATGTAGAGGAGAGAGAGAGATTTTGGGAAATGTTGAGTGAGTGCATGGGGAGTTTTGAACCAAGTGAGAGAGTACTTATGGTTGGGGGATCTCAATGCTAAAGTGGGTAACAATGTTGTGGAGGGAGTAGTCGGTAAATTTGGGGTGCCAGGGGTAAATGAAAATGGGGAGCCTTTAATCGAGCTATGTGTAGAAAGAGGTTTGGTAATAAGTAATACATATTTTGTGAAAAAGAGGTTAAATAAGTACACAAGGTATAATATAGAATGTAATTAAGTAATTTGTTAGATAATGTATTGGTGGATAAAAGGTTGACAGGTAGGCTTCAGGATGTACATGTTTATACAGGGGCAATGGATATATCAGATCATTATTTAGTTGTAGCTACAGTTAGAGTAAGAGGTAGATGGGACATTAGGAAAATGGCAACAGCAAGTAAGAGGGAGGTGAAAGTGTATTAACTAAGGGAGGAGGAAGTTAGGGCGAGATATAAGCAACTATTGGCAGAAAGGTGGGCTAACGCAAGTATGAGTAGTGGGTGAAGGGGGGTTGAAGAGGGTTGGATGAGTTTTAACCCTTTGAGGGTTTCGGACGTACTAGTACGCACAAATTCTAGTGCCGTCAAATCTCACGGGAAAAGGCTGGTAGGCCTACATGTGAGAGAATGGGTCTGTGTGGTCGGTGTGCGCGGTAGAAAAAAAATCTGGGACCCAGTGGTGCATTGTGGGAACGCCATCTTAGTAAACAATATCCACCATGCCTCGCGGTAAGAAGCTCCTCACTCCTTGGCGAATTGGGACACTTTTGTTCCCCAGTGACAGTTCTAATACAGATGGAAGTGCCAGTGAAGATGAGTTTCAAGGTTTTGGTGAGGTTTTGACCAAAACTAATGACCATAATATCGGTAATAGTGAGGAAAACCCAGACCACCCTCAGCCTTCCACCGCTGGTGCTGGGCCGTCTTGTTCACATTCAGTTGTACCAGAATCCAAGAGGAAACTTCTATTTTCTCAAATCCCAGACTCAGATGAGAGCATGGGTGATGATAGTGATAGTGAATATGAACTACAAGCTCTTCAAACTAGTTCCAGTAGTGATAGTGAAGTGCAGTATTCCCCAGTGAAGTGTCAGTATATACGACGATATATGAGCTCTGGTAGTGTGCCATATGCTATTCCAAGGGGAAGGAGTGCATCTCAGAGTACATCCCGTGGCTGTACAACAGGAACAGACAGTGAAAATGACGATGATACTGTTGCAATTGGGATGGAAAATGTGCGTGGTGGTAGTGGTGCTGGCGGTGAGGCACCAGCAGTGGGCCATGCTGCCACCCACGCCGCTGCCTCAGCTGATCTACAACAAAGGCCACCATCCCCCACCCACCCATCACACCAGCCTCCACAACCACAACCTCCACAACCACAAGTCATTGTCCAGTACCCACCAGCAGACCACACCTGGGATTGGCAGGAAGCTGTCAATTTTGTTCCAAATGCCCACCAGTTTGATGACAGCCAAAGTGGAATACTGCCATCTTGTACACTTGGGGACAATGCCACTGAACTGGAATGTTTCGAGTTATTCTTTGACGAACCACTGATGGAAAGTATTGTCATGGAAAGCAACACATACTACGAGTACACCATGGCAAACGCATTACTTTCACCAAAATCACGTCTACACCAGTGGAAGGAGGCAACTGTGGCTGAGATGTATCTTTTCTTTGCCACAATAATGCTTATGCCACATGTGTATAAGCACAAAGTGAAATCATACTGGTCAACAGACCACCTGATTGCAACCCCAGGTTTCAGTGATATAATGCCAGTGAATCGATTTGTGCTAATGTTACGTATGCTTCACTTCTCAGATAAAACCAGGCCTGACAGAAACAACAGGTTATATAAGATTAGAATGTGTTTGTGTATCTGAAAGAGAAATCAGTACGCATTTTTATCCTTCAGGAAGCTTGTAATTGACGAGTCTTTGATTCTGTTCAAAGGAAGACTTTCTTTCAAGCAGTACATACCAAGCAAGAGGAAACGCTTTGGTATAAAGTTGTTTGTGCTTTGTGATTGTTACAGTGGTCTGGTATTGGATATTATTGTGTACACTGGAAGTTATACATTGCAAAATACCAGGAAGTTATTGGGCATCTCAGGTGATGTGGTTAGAACAATGATAGAACCCATACCTTGGTAAGGGGCATATATTATATACAGATAACTGGTACACAAGCCCCTCACTCAGTGATTTTTTGCGAGTGAACACGACAGATGTGTGTGGCACAGTGCATGCAAATCGGAAACATATGCCCAGGTTTGACGCTGGCACTCGTAGAGGTGAGGTGCAGGCGTTTGCTGCCAATGACATCATGGCATTTCGGTGGCATGATAAACGAGATGTCACACTGCTGTCATCAGTTCACCCTAATGAAATGGCAGACAGTGGCAGGCAGCATAGAGAGAGCAATGAACCCATTCTAAAACCTGCAGCTGTGATTGATTACACCTTCAACATGCATTCAGTGGACAAATGTGACATGCAGATTGGGTTTGCTGATTGTGTTCACAAGAGTTATAAGTGGTATGCAAAACTCTTTTTCCATCTTCTGGACATTTCCATGCTCAATGCTTATAATATGTATAAGATGAGGACCAGAAACAAACCACAGTACGGCGAATTCTGTTTGTCTGTCATCAGACAAATAGTATTCAAGTACCAAGGAACAGCACCTGCAATTGACCGCCCACCAAATTATCAACAATTACCTGCTCGTCTGAAGCATGGTGATCACTTCTTGGTAAAAGTGCCTGCTACTGTTTTCAAGAAAAAGACTCAGAAGAGGTGTTATGTCTGTTCACATACAAAAAAATGCCCACAACAACACAGAAACACTCATTTTATGTGTGAGGAATGTAAAACACCACTGTGCATGACACCATGTTTCAAAGAGTTCCACAGGCTGCAGAACTTCTAGAAATATTCCCTGTGACTGTATATGTGTATATAAAATATAGAAAAATAGTAATAAACAACATTTCATATCGTTTGTTTGTGTAAATATTTTCTATAAACAAAATAATGACAACAGTGTTTACGCCCTTATTGTATAGTATTGAAAAAGAAATAACTTACAAAATACTTATCATGTTGGCCTCAGAGGCTATAAAAGTTACTCAGGAAAAGAAAAATTGATAAATAATTGATAATAGTACATAAAAAAGTAAATAGAAAAATACCGGGTGACGGCAGTCGGCGATGTTACCAGATGTTGTTCAATTTTGGCAAACTTCACGCCTCCATATCTCGGTAAGTATTGACGGTAAATTTTTTTTGTTTAGCCTATAATGTTTAGAAAAAAAAAAAAAATTTTTTTTCATAAGAAAAAATAATTTTTTTTTTTTTTAAATTTGGCCGACCCTGAGAACGAGTTTCGGAGAGGGCCTGTCGACCCTCAAAGGGTTAAAAATGCAGTATTAGAATGTGGGGCAGAAGTTTGTGGCTATAGGAGGGCGGGTGCAGTAGGAAAGAGGAGTGACTGGTGGAATATGAATAAAAGGTGTGATAAAATAGAAAAAGACAGCGTATAAGAGGTTGTTACAAAATAGAAATGTTATAAGAAGAGTAGAATACATGGAGAGTAAAAGATAGGTGAAGAAAGTGGTGAGAGAGTGCAAAAGAAGATCAGATGATAGAGTGGGAGAGGCGCTGTTAAGAAATTTTGCAGAAAATAAGAAAAAAATTTGGAGTTAAACAAGTTAAGAAAGCCTTGGGAACGAATGGATTTGTCAGTTAAAAACAGGGTAGGGGAGTAGTAGATGGGGAGCTGGAGGTATTGGGTAGATGGAAGGAATATTTTGAGGAACTTTTAAATGCCAGTGAAGAAAGGGAGGCAGTAATGTCATACACTGGTCAGGGAGGTGTAACACCTTTTAAAAGTGAAGAAGAGCAGTATGTGAGTGTGGGGGAGGTGCGTGAGGTATTATGTAAAATGAAAGGAGGTAAAGCAGCTGGAACTGATGGGATCATAACGGAAATGTTAAAAGCAGGGGAAGATATTGTGTTGGCGGGATAGGGGTCATCCTCGGAAAGGTTGGAGGGAGGGGGTAAAGGAGGTTTTGTGGGCGAGGGGCTTGGACTTCCAGCAAGCATGCATGAGTGTGTTAGATAGGAATGAATGGAGACAAATGGTTTTTGGGACCTGACAAGCTGTTGGAGTGTGAGCAGGGTAACATTTAGTGAAGGGATTCAAGGAAACTGGTTATTTTTATATAGCCGGACTTGAGTTCTGGAAATGGGAAATACAATGCCTGCACTTAAAAGGAGGGGTCTGGGATATTAGCAGTTTGGAGGGATGTGTAATAGGATGGTATATAGAGCTACCATCCGACTTACGACCTGCTCGACATACGACCATTCGACTTACGACCTGCTCGACATACGACCATTCGACTTACGACCGTGTTTTCTATGCCAAATTTCTGGAAAATAAACAACTGTGTGTTGTGCACAGTGTTTATCCTAAATCTTACAGTATAAAATACAGTACTAATAGCATAAAAAGTAAAGTAAAAAATGAAATACCAAAATAAAACAATAAATAAAGTCATTACAAAAATGTGATGTTGATATTCAGTAGTAAGGTTCGACTTATGTCCATTTCGACTTATGACCGGTTTGTCAGAACCGAACTCAGTCTTAAGTCGGGGGGTACCTGTCTATATAATTGGGGCCCTGATATTATATTTTATATTGTATCTTTATATATGCTTCTAAACTGTTGTACCTGGGCACCTCTACAAAGACAGAGATTATGTATGAGTAAGATGAAAGTGTTGAATGATGATGAAAGTATTTTCTTTTTGGGGATTTTCTTTCTTTTTGGGTCACCTTGCCTTGGTGGGAGACAGCTGACTTGTTGAAAAAAAAAAATTATAACAATAACCACAATAATAATAATAATAATAATAATAATAATAATAATAATAATAATAATAATAACAAATTCCTTTTGCAACTCCTCTCATGATGATACTTTCACTTACCTCTTCACCTTCTTTGCCTTCCTCCTCTTCAGCATCCCCCAGTGCATCTGCATCAGCCAAGTTATCGACAGCAATGGCCAAGAAGACGTTGAGCAAGATGTCTGGTATATTAGTCAAGGAATGGTGGGAACTGAATGGCACAAAGTAACAATCTCATAAGGTTATGCCAATGCAGATACTGTACCTTTTAAGAAGTTAACATTGTACAGTGTGCAAAATGACTTTAACCTATTTGCCCCAAACATGACTCAATTAAATTTTTTCTTAACATTCACCTACCATTACAAAGAATTTACCTCTTCATGTAACTAACCTGATGGTCATGACAAATAATCAAATATAAATTGTGGGAAAACAATACAATACAATAGACTTAATACTACAGTAACTCCCAACTTTTACAGAAAAAATAAATTATACAGTTTCTAAAGTTCAAAAACAGCATTTTCATTCATAAAATAGGTAAATACATAAAGCCAATGAACATGCACAAAGAAACACATGCTTCAATACAAAGTTACACATGACTGTAATAGAGTCAACACATGCAACAATAATACTCACTCATACCTCACACCTGTTGTTCTCCACAAGATGTTATCTTCATCACACTTGTCAATTAACACCAAGGACATCAAAGTACGAGCATAGAAAAATTTGAGCATGATATATGTGATTAATACATTTGCACAAACAAAGAAGCAATATTTCTGAAGAAATCTTGTAATAAAAATAGCAATTCCAAAAATAAACTCTATGCCTATTAAAATAAACACAATGAAACATTATTAACCAATGATAAACCAAAACATAATCTTAAAATTAATCTGCATGTTGGGATTAAGTAATTATGCCATGGGCACATTTTTATGCATTTATATGCTCCTTTAGTAGCAGCAGAATTTTACTTTTCCTTAAACCATTTATGCCATCCTATGTCATCTGATATTGTCTTCATGATGCTGAGATATGTGCTTGATGATAAACCTAAAGGTTTAAATGCCAAAGATAATGATTTTGCATGTGCTACAATTTGCTACAAGATATTGACGAATGTATTAATAATTTTCTAAAAAAGACTCAATACCTCTATAACAAGCACTGCCCTAAAAAAACTAAGCAGATGACAGCTAAGAGACTGAACAGTCCCTGGCTAACACCCAGCATTCTCAAATCCATAAATACAAAACACCAATATGAAAAACAGTACAGAATGGGTCACATAACCAGAGACCAAACAAAACGTTACTCGTCAATCCTAACCAGCCTGATAAGAAGGGCAAAAAAATTGTATTATGAGAACAGATTATCCAACTTACGAGGTGATATAAAAAAGACGGGAAAAAACCTATCAGAAATTCTGGGAACAAAAAAGATATCACGAAATAGCGAAATAAAATTAGCAAAATCAGATGAAACCCCAACTCCCACCAACAGAAACAGCAAACAGACTCAATGATTTCTTCTCCACTATAGGACAAAACCTTGCCAATAAAATCCCAAGCTCAGATACCCCACCAAATGACTACCTCACCGGCAACTACCCGAACACACTGTTCCTAGCTCCGACTAACCCATACGAAGTCTCCCTTATTATCAACGCACTAAAAAACAAGGCAGGAGATTTAAATACCTTACCACCCTTTATATACAAAAAAGTGTCACAAGTGCTATCACCAATCATTGCAACACTCTTTAACAAATCCATTGAATCCTCCACCTTCCCTACAGTACTCAAAATAGCAAGGGTCACCCCGATCCACAAAGGAGGAGACCAAACAGAGTTGAATAACTATAGGCCAATATCCAACTTACACCCTCTCTCAAAAATCTTCGAAAAATTAATTCATAAACGAATCTACTCCTACCTTATCTCCCAAAACATACTCAACCCCTGCCAATTTGGATTCAGGCCTAATAAAAATACTAATGATGCTATTATACACATGCTAGAACATATATACACTGCAATAGAGAAAAAAGAAGTCCCACTGGGGATCTTCATTGACTTACGTAAAGCTTTTGATACAGTTGACCATGACTTGCTCCACGTAAAATTATCACACTAGGTATAAGAGGGCACTCCCTCAACTACCTCAAGTCATACCTCAGCAACAGAAGCCAATATGTGTACGCAAATGGGGCAAACTCTTCTGCACAACCAATTACAGTTGGTGTCCCACAGGGAAGTGTCCTTGGCCCTCTTCTCTTTCTCCTATACATAAATGACCTACCAAATGCTTCTCAATTACTCAAACCCACACTATTTGCTGATGACACAACATACGTCTTCTCCACCCCGAGCCCAGTCACGCTAGCCAATACTGTAAATACCGAATTACAGAAAATATCTACCTGGATGAGTACTAACAAACTTACACTAAACATTGACAAAACCTACTTCATTCAGTTTGGTAACAGAGCTACAGATGTCCCTCTTAACATAATGATAAACGGATCACCTATCACAAAGCTAACAGAGGGAAAATTCTTAGGAATCCACCTTGATAATAGACTCAAATTTCATACACATATACAACAAATTTCTAAGAAAATTTCCAAGACGTAGGCATACTATCGAAGATACGGTACTATGCTCCACAGTCAGCCCTCCTGGCCCTATATCACTCTCTTATTTACCCCTATCTCACCTATGGAATTTGTGCATGGGGCTCAACAACAAGTAACCATCTCAGACCACTAATTACCCAACAAAAGGCTGCAGTTAGAATGATAACAAATTCTCACTACAGGCAGCACACTCCACCAATATTCAATACACTCAACCTACTCACCATACAAAACATCCATACTTATTACTGCACCTATTACATACATAGAACACTCAACTCTGATATTAACCCTCCCCTCAAACATCTCCTTGCCAACCTCAACAGAACACATGACCATAACACAAGGCACAGATCACTCTTTGATATTCCTCGTGTCCATCTCACGCTATGCAAAAACTCAATGCACATAAAAGGCCCTAAAATCTGGAATTCATTACCTGTTAATATAAAAGAAACACTACCTGTTTATAAATTCAAGTCTCTTCTCAAAGATCACTTACTCACCCAAAACCAAATAAATAACTGAATAACTGAACCTTATAAATTGTATATCTTAAATGTTTCTCACAATTATATCACATAAATGTTAAACCTAAAACCCATCTAACTTTATTATTTTTTAAATTCACTACCTAACAGAATACTCCATTCTACTGAATTTACAACAATGCATGCAACCATATGACCTGTCTTTGTAATACTCACTTGTGCTTTATAGTAATCAGTTTACATTAATGTTTTTCACTGATTTCATCATTGCTTAGTTAATCTTAAGTTAATTTTAAGCCAGCCCGTAATGCTATGCATAGTATAAGTGGCTTTGGCATGCTGCTCTTATCTGTATTTTTTTTTGTACCTCTGTAAGTGTGCTCAAATTATAAATAAATAAATAAATAAATAAATAAATTCAATCATGTTTCTCGCTTTCTTTAACAAAGGGCTGGCACTAGGAACTTTCTTTGGACCCATGGTGGCTTATTTCACAGTCACACTCAATAAACAACCACAAAAAACAATGGATTATAAGGAAATGTTTGGATGAATGAAATGAATGTTGCTCACTCACCCAGAGACACACCCAGACTGATTCACAAATGCGGGGGAATGGCGGGCAGACGCGTCCAATATAGCCGATTTCAGAGTTGCCAGCCGAAATCCAGAACAGAATTTCGGCCAAAAGAGCAGCCGAAATCCTATTTCACTGATATCTGGGGTTCCATTGTACAATGGAACCCCAGATATGGTTTTCAGCACTTGACATGCTGTTGGAGTGTGAGTAGGGTAATATTTATGAAGTTATTCAGGGAAAACGGCAGGCCGGACTTGAGAACAACTGTCTGGTCTCCATGACAATCCTTAATTTCTATTTTAAATGTGTGTTCTGCATTGTACTTGTTAAACTGTGCATAAAACTATGAATATTATAATAAACATCACTTGTATAGCAACAACTCTTAACATTCAAATATTTTTTTTTTTTCAACAAGTCGGCCGTCTCCCACCGAGGCAGGATGACCCAAAAAAGAAAGAAAATCCCCAAAAAGAAAATACTTTCATCATTCAACACTTTCACCACACTCACACATTATCACTGTTTTTGCAGAGGTGCTCAGAATACAACAGTTTAGAAGCATACACATATAAAGATACACAACATATTACCCTTAAGCTTTGCATATAAAAGACAAGTGGGATTAGTCATGATTTCCCTGCTACTGGCAATTTTTTAATTATTTTTTATAAGACTGTTTAGCAAAAAAAAATTAATTTAATTACTGAAAGATTAGTCAACAAATTACAGCATATTACTTCCATAATATTGAAGGTGTGCTACTTTAATGCCTTGTAGTGAAAGAGAACCAATAATTTATAATGCTAAAGCAGCAGTACTGCATTATTAGCAAGGAATAACTATTGCTCTGGTCATCACTGAGATAGTTGATGTAGTTGATGCTGGGGTCATCCCCACAGTAATGGCTGAAATTTTCCCCAAGGTGGTGGCATTGGTATTGATTGAAGTGGGCATGGTGCTGTCAGAGTTACTGGATTGTGTGGATGAGAATTAACCTTTGAAGAAGCTTTGTGATGGACACCTGCCTGGTTGTAAGCAGGGGCCCTTCAGGTATAAATGATTATCCATTTCTCTGCTGTACTTATGTTGTACTGGATCCAGTTTAAAAATCTGATCCACAATGCCAGGTTATGATGGCTATGTGGACCTAGAGCCCTCTAGCATTAATAGCCTGGTTTACCACCAGGCAATTAATGTGAAAGTATGGCCTCAGGCTTGACTGCAAGATGACAACAGTCCTCAAAACCAGTCACATATGTTACAGGTACAAATATATTTCAAATCCAAAGTTTTTTTACAAATTAAATTTTCTATTATAACCTTCAGCGGGGCGGGTCATTTTACCTCAATACTTAATGTTATTACTTTTTCAGAGCTTTGTTTCTTGTTATGTCATAAGAGTAGATCCTCTAACGACACCTCTGGCCCTGATCAAGCTGAACTTTTGGTGCTCCAT